CGTACTTATACAGGATCTGGCGGACCTGTGGAACTGGATTATTTGTGGTGTGTTCATTCATGAAGAAACGGGAAATGGTTCGGCCAATGAAGGACGACGTTCTTGCTTCAAGCATTATGAGAAAACACAGACTCGCTAGAAGATTCTGATTCATTCATTCCAGAGTACAAGTTGCGCTATATGAAGGATCAGAGAAAGAACAGTATCCTCAATTGACAGTCTTGTCCCAATGTCCACACCCGACTTCCAACCCCTTCCTTCTTTCGCTCGAAAACAATGGTTGGAAAGTGTTTGGGTTAGAGAAGTTGATGACTCAGAGGTTTTAATGATTCCATCGATTTGTTTGAATGTTCCTGAGAAGATCAAAAAAATCGGATGTGGAAACTTTCATTGGATTGGTGTCACTGCGAATGACCAAATTTTGGCTTCGGGTTACAATAGTGAAGGACAATTGGGAACTGGGAATGTCCTACATTTTCCGCGCAAGACAATTGATATCACCCAAAACATTCAATCAGTCGCACAGACATTCGAATCTTCTCCCGGATGGTTCGTTCATGAAATCTCAGCAGGACCGACTTGGAGCCATATTATTCTATCAAGCAATCATCAGAACATTACACTTGGCTGGGGAAGCAACAGCTTCGGTGAGTGGTGGATGTGACGCTCCACAGAGGAGTCATTTTGATTACAGGTCAAGTTGGGTCAGGATCTTCCGAAGCAAAAGTTCTCACTCCAGAGTTTGTCGAGTTGGTCCGGTTTGCTTCTATTCCGTGAAATCCTTGTGAACATCGATGATTGCGTTGGTCTGAAGTCTTTTTGTTTTCAGGGAAGTGATCACTGTATTCGAGAGATCGCGACTGGCCGCAATCATTGTGCTGCAATCTCACAAACCGGAAAGCTTTTCACTTGGTAGGCTGATGACTTCACGTATATTCCAATTTGTGTTCTTCAGGGGATTCAATCAAACGGGACAATTAGGACTCGGTACCATTGAATCCCATCGAACTCCTCAAGTATAGAATCTCTTCCTCACCCATGGGATCATCTGTTCTAATGCAGGCTGTTGTTTTAGACAGAAAGGCTTCTGATATCCCAATCAAATTCGTCTCTTGCGGCACTTGGCATACCATTGTAGTAACGACAAAGAACCAGGTGTTCATGTTGGGCGGTGCTCCATCTCAGCCTGTCATTGTATCACCATTTGCTTCGTCGGCGAATGATCGTCACGCTCATTGTCTCTGGCACTCGTTTGAGCCTTACGACGTTGATCAGTCATCAGATGACAGTAGCTCTGATTCTCATCCACCCGAAAGTGTTGATCCCCTGTCGAGAACGTTGTTACCACAACACCTTTTAGGCTTGATTGAGGACGACAATTGGGACATAGTGGGTTGCGTCTGTCCAACTTGATTGACTCGCTTGTTCACCAGGTGTCTCTTTCTACGAACGCCACAAGGAGTTGCATGGTAACGACGCGTGATCATCCATATGACGTCGAGGTGATGCTGTGGTCTGACGACTCCCTCTCGCGTTTGCTTCCGTTTTCCAATATTCTTCGAAATCAAAAGTTCGGCGGGGTTTGGAAGGAAACGAGAAAAGACAACATCCCGATAGCGACTTTGTTTTGGGACATCGAGTCTGATCAAACGACAATAAAGTTGAAAACAGACTTCCCGTCTCGCGCGTCTCATTCGAAAGTTTCATGCTCTCTTGGAATCAACTCTGTGAATCTCTTATTCGAAAAATCGAATTTCGAATGATAGAGTTTTTATAGATATTCTAGGAAGTCATCTTCAAGAAGAAAAGAAACAGAAACTCGAATTAAAAAGCGTGAATGGGAAATATCCAATCATCGCAGCCTGAAAAAGAGAAACCCTCCAAACAATAACGAGTCGCTTCGATGATGTTACCATTCGAATCGTTGAGGCTCGTTCCAAACCCCCAAAGATGGCAGTGAAGGCTCACAAGGGGCCATGATTACATCAACTGGGGAGGACGAATCGACTCCGTGAATTGAAGACGAGTTCTGTAACGAGCAATGATCATCATCGTTGAACAATTGATAAATAGTCTTACTGTCTTTGCTGTATCCCAAAATTGAAGGCTTGACGTCAAGCAAGTTGAACTTGACAAGAAAGCTTGACGAGTATCGATGGGCTGCGATAGACAGTTGATCAATATCCACAACGCTGATGGAATTGCTGACTATGGGAGGAGTTCTAAGATTCTTAGCTGGTTAATTGTAATCATGCATGAATCATAAATTAATTGTCGAATTATCATATATTATGTAATTCGACAATTGATGGATATATAAATTCATACTATAAATCCAAGATTACCATTCGATCATTTCCTGTTAGGGTCTTGTACGCCTTTGTGGTGTAGGAAAAAATTCGCTTGCTCTTCGCTCCGTCGAACTGCCAAAATTGATTTTCATTCTCCGCTGCGAACATCAAACATGACACAAGAATTCAAACACCTTCGTACCTTTAAAAATATCAGTCCATTCACATTCTGTCAATATTGGGACTGCTTGGCTACTAAAGAAGCGGGATTGCGAACCGCGATCCAGACATTTGCCTGTCGCTCGATTGAAAAGCATGCGGCCTCCTAAAAGTAATCGATTTTGATAAACTGGATCATCTCTTGAACGCACCAGCAACAGCCTGCCATTCCTGATTGAAGTTGCGAGTTCTACAAGGATCTAATACAACTGTAGGATTCTTTGGTGCATTAGGAGCATCGGTAGGAACCGCAACAGTGAGACACCAACGAGACGCCGGATGGATAATGTAACGGAATTCTGACGAGAAAAAATGGGACAGAGGCATGGAAAGAAAGATAACTCACCATCAATGAGAAGACCTTTGCGTTCAAATGACGTCCGAAATTTATCAACGTACCTAGAACATCAATAGTGAGCATCAAACAAAGCGTCAAGAAAACGACAGACTAGAACTACGAACTCAAAAGAGATTCAACAACGTAATCATAAACGGCTATGACATTCATTTTATTATTGATGGCTATGCTCACCATTGAAATGGTCTGCAGTTCAATTTTGTACGGAGCGCAAGTCTTTCGTCAAGATTCGGTCCTTCATCGAGAGTTTTCACGACAGGATGAAACTTTTCGAAATATTTATAATAATCATCAAGCCAGACGAGCGCCGCACGTTTTTGATTCTTCTGTACTTGTGTGACCAATCGATTCTAGAATGTCATCGATCAAACAATCATCAAGACAAACGTATATAACTGAGAATCAATGACTCACCCCTGGATTCGGTTTAGCTGGACGGTCGAATATATGTCCAACAAAGGAATCCCTCACAACGTAAATCTCTCCTCCACACATCCACACACGCATCGATTGCTCGAGATTTTCTCCTCCCCATTCCAACATTCCAGGATCGTATTTTCCACTTTCGTCCCACCTTGAATTGAAGAGTCACAAAAATTGAGATTCTTCCAACTGTTGATCCTCTCACCATTTACGCGTCAAGGCAATAATCCCACCAGCAGAAATTGGAACCTCATCCGTCAAATCGTCATACCATCCAAATTCGAAGTTCCACTCAAACATCATTTTAGCACCGCTCGTTCCCGCATCTTCCCACGTGTCTTTTCTGATATCTTCAATAACGGGGCACGCAAGACTATTCAAACACAGCGAAGAACATGATAGACAACAGAGAAATGACGAAGCATACACAGTCCCCCAAATCCATCGAACATGATAGACAGAGATTACGAAGCATACACAGTCCCCCAAATCCATCCTGTGTTAAAGACTAACCGCTTATAGTTTGCCTTCAAATGCTTCAATAAAGGTTCAATCCAACCAGGTTTTGGTTTACAATGTCCATCGAGAAAGAACTATGAGGATGAAAAACGATCAAGTTTCGGACGACGGGAATGAATGCTTGGGACAGTCCTGTGTCCCAATTTCATGCTAGAACTCACAATATTAGAGCCAGTAGACTTATCAGCCCCGAAGATTCTTGCACGAATTAATCCCTCTTTCGTATCAAAACGGTATACTTTCACCAATTTTCTGTATGATGCAGGCAATTCACGGTCCAAAACATCAGCAAGTGGGATCTCAGAAGCGTCATCGACGACAATGATCTCTTTGATATATTTTGCAGGTGTGTTGTCCACAGTGAACTAATAGGACGGAGAAGCATGAGTGAGGACATAATGTAAAGCTAGTCTCTCATCACTCGATATTAATCCTTTTCATCTCTACTTTCTCACCCTGATTGTTTTTGAAATGTAGGGGGCTTCATCTCTACCAGGAATAATGATCGAAAAATCATTCGCCGTGACGTAAGGCTCTTCATCATGCATTGCAGAATTAACGGCAGCATTAATCACTGCTGCCTCCTACAAAATGAAAATAAAATTCCCATCAGAACGTGGTAAATCTGACGGTACTGTCCCAGAAGATGAACGGCGTTTGTGCTTACATCCAAACTTCTGAATGGAGACTCTACAACACCCGAAGGACCATTAATGACTCGAGGATCCCCAGAAGTGCTACCGGGAAAATCTAAACAAGAAATGTGCCTCCATTGGAACGCAAACACGCACCTCTTGCGGGAACTGGAACGCCCCGGATTTCTAGTTCTCGTGGTGTCGTTAACCTGTTGACTTTCTCAACGATAAGGTATTGAATCAGAAAAACTCCGAGGTAGACGAAAAGGCGTTTTCTATTGAGGAATGACTCGCCAAGTGAAGATCTGGAAAAGGCTTCAACAGCTCCAATTAAAATAAGAAGAACGAATCGCGCTGCTGGTGTTACAGCGATGAGAATCAATAAAAGAAGAGCGTAAATGATATGAACGATGAAGAGAGTGGTGTGAGGAGGATTGGCCCATGAAGACTTCCGAGAATCTGCTGGACGTCTTCGACTAACTAATGGCGTGCCTTTGATCATGATAAAATTGTGATGAGCTTCGAGGGAATATCAACAAGGAGAGTTAGACAGTCATGACAATCATCCAATCTGTCTTCCGTCAACTCCAGCTAGAGAAAAGAGATTCAGATGAGCCCGACAATGTTGATTATGAATCCCACACTGTCATCTATCGCCAAAGACGAAGGAAAGACTTACGAACTAAAGTAGCTCAGGGAATGGAGGTCAACCAACCAGATCGTGAAAGTCTTTTCAGGCAGCTGTAAGTATTAGTCACGGACAGAGCGGGGACCAGGCGTGAGTTTTTCATCGATGAAAAAATGTTTTCAGGGGCGATTAAGATCGAAGATCTTAACGATTTCTTAAATCCATCACAAGAATGTGTTGTTCCAATTGTAAAAGACACAGGAAAAGAAAGTAGATTATCAGCGGAAGCCAATCGTCCGGATCTCATCAAAACGAGGCCGCGAAAAGTAAAAAAACGACCGACAGAGAATGGCGAACGCGTCCCAAAAGCGATCGCCGAGGCTGTTGTGACAGCTGTTGATGAGATAAAACAGCCGAGCGTCCCAGAACCCACCCAGCAAAGCGGAGGTGCTGCTCAAGTTTCTTTGTATGACTGTCTGGCTTGTAGTGGATGTGTAACGACAGCTGAGACGGTTTTAATTCATGATCAGTCCATCGATGTTTTCATTGAAAGGGCAAGAAAATCAAAATTTGCAGTTGTATCGATATCTCCACAAAGCATTGAATTTTTGGCAGCACATTTCAAGCTTCCACTCAAATTATGTTTTCGCAAGATATCTTTTATTTTTAAATCTTATTTCGATGTTGCAGCAGTGATTGATACTTCTGTAACAGATGCTCTTCACCAAGTGGAGACCCTGCGAGAATTCATTGAAAGATTTCGAGTGAAGCGAGAAGGCCACCGGTCATCTCACTCAAAGACGACGGACGCTTCCTGCTCTGATGGCAAGTCCCCGGATCAAACTGCTTCAGAGGCAAGTGCCTCGGCTGCTCTTCCACTCCTTACATCGCATTGTCCAGGATGGATTTCTTTTGTTGAGAAAACGCAACCGTCTTCAGTCGTAGCGTGCGTTAGTCGATTGAAATCGTCTCAGCAGATTTTGGGACATCTCGTCAAAACCCTTATGGTGGATTCTCACAATTTAGTGCAATATAGGAAGCGATACATTCAATCTTCAGTCTTGCCCACACACCCGAAAGTTTTGTTGCGTCCAAGATTTCGCAACTCGGGAAAGGAGAATTCTGATGGGATTTCAACCGCCACGTCAACCCCAAAAGAGTCATCAATGAGTGACGAAGATGAAAAGTATACCAGTAGGAAGGAGAGACGAGCATCAGGGATCATCACTTCGAAGGATGTCTTCCATGCTGCCATCATGCCTTGTTACGATAAAAAGTTAGAGACTGTTAGACCGGAAAACTTCATTGGAATTGACTCTACTGTTATGAAGGAGGTCAGCAGTGGCATCCAGGAAGTAGATGTTGTTCTGGCGACGGTTGAAGTTTTTAGTCTTTTAGAAAGAATTGGAATCACAGATCTCAATGAA